CAAAGAAAAAAGTTGTATAATGTAAAATTAGCTTGATATTTAGGCTTACTACCATACAAATATTAACTAAAAAAAGCAAATGGTAGTATAAGCTTTTGAAAGAAGTTCACTTAATATTTAGAATAACCAGTTATATATCATGTTAATTAATTTAAAAAGTAAATTTAACAAAGAAAAAGTATTTATGTAAAAGATATTAGATTAATATATATGCTACCTATTTGAAAAATCAACAACATAAGATATTAATTAAAAATACATATGTTTTAAGTATGTCAAACCTGCAGAAAATTAGATAATTAAAATAAAATATAAAATTACCATTGAAGATATTTAAAATAAAATAAAAAAACAAGATCTAAGAAAAAAATTAGTTTGAAATATAGTTCCAAAAACATTCATGATTTCTAAAATATTGGTGTTGATTATGAATAACCATATAAAATTATAATATGTTATACAAGTTTCTAAATCAAACATATTATTTAAATTTACAAAGATTAATATCTTGGTTGCGCCTGGTTGAAAAATTAACAAAGTAAAATACTACACAAGTAACTTTACACTCAAAATATATTAAGTAATAAAGTCTGATTTGTATACATATTTATTGCTTATAACTTAGTCAACAAGAACAACATATGAGCAACATCTTCTAAAATTTTATTTAAATAATATAATATGACAAATTTATGAATCAAATTCAAATGGGAATATATGAAGATAAAATATTCAAATCAAAACATGAATAAACACCCAAAAGATAAAAAAAACAAAGATACTGTGAAGTCTCAACATCATCTTACATGTTTAAAAACAAATATTAGCAAATAGTTGACTTCAAATAAAACAGATCTTATAAACTAAATAGAAATATAACCTAAAATTCGTAGAAGATCTGGTGGAGAAGCAAAATGTAGCTTTACACGATTAGTGTAGCTTACTAACAAAAGTAATTCTGAATCAACATATATCATATTATATATGTATATGTACACAATATTAATGAGAAATTTAGTAAAGAAACTAAATATTTAAACATATAAACTTTTTTAAAAAAAGAACCATAGAAATCCTAAGGATACAAAACAAAACACCAAAAATTTACTAAAGAAATCATTTTCTAAATCAAACATATGCACATCAAAGTTGAATAATTCGTTAGGTGTCATTACTATGATTTTACTTAATAAGATTTATAATTTTATAAATGAAAATAGAAAATACTACATATTATGTTTTATTTTTTTATAAAAAAGAAAATTTGTACAAATGTATTATAGTTTTGATAATTTAAAAGATATTAGCCAAAAAAGTAAACCAAATTATTAATACAGACTCGCGCGTAGCACGAGTTAAAAGCCTAGTAATATATAAAAGTTGATGGCATAGTGCATTGAAGCGTCCACATGAGATTAAAAAACTCGATCTGATGGGTCTACATCAGCATATTCATTAAATAAAAAATATTAAGTATGATTAGAACAGAAAAAACTTGTTTTAATTGGTCCACATCAGCTTTTAAATTAAACCAAAAATTATTAAGTATAATTAAAACATTAAACGTTAATTTAACAAATTATGTCCAACAAAAAAAGTAAATTCAATCTGATTGATCCAAATCAATATATTTATTAAATCAGAAAATGTTAATATGGTTAAAAATTTAAAAATTAAATAAAAATAACAATTAACAATACATGTATAAAAAAGTAACCATTATCAATTATCAATTTTAAAAAATCTACAACAACTTGATTTAACAATTAAAACAATGAAAACTGAATAAAAATATAACATACAACTCTTGGAAGACATGATAGAGAAGGAAAAAATGGTTTTGCATGATCATTACAGCTTCCTAACAAAATTAAATGTTAATCAACATGAATCATGGATTATATATACAGTGGTACACAACATTAATAAGACTTTCAATAAAAAATTAAATATTTGAACACATAAACCTTCAAGAAAAAAAGAACTGTAGAAATTCTATGGAAAACAGAAAATAATACCAAAATCTTAGCAAGATTATATTTCTCTAAATCAAATGTATATGTATGTCAAAGTTGGATAACTCGATAGATGTCATTGTTATTATTTTACCTAATAGTTTTTAAAAATTTAGAAATAAAAATAGGATAAATTACACATTATATATTAAATTCTCTTATATAAATGAAAATTTCTATAAATTTCTATAATTTTTAATAATTTTAAAGATAGTAGTTAAAAAAAAAACTAAAATATTAATACAGAATCACGTGTAACGCGAATTATATACCTAGTAAGAGGTAAAAATTAATTAACAATAATAACTTTTAACCACAGTCCAACTTACTTCTCAATTAATAATATAATTTAGAGAGTTTCTACTGTATATATCTCTATAATTGGAAATTAACTCACTTGAGTTGAGTCTTGAAAATGATAAAGATTACGGCTAAATAATAAACCCACAAATAAAATTGTGTTATCTTATAGCCATATAACTTTATAATTGGCAATTAACTTGCGTATATAGTCCAAAGTAATGTAATTTTCAATTTAAATAGTGTCCTTATCGTCATAGCATTATTTTCTTCTTTTCTCAAGACGACTTATCGTGTAAATTGACGTGATGGAGATTTGGCATTTTTGTTATTGGACAATTTGTGTAATAAACATAAAATAGTTATAAAAATGGATAAAATATAACTTAACAAATATTCTAAAAACGCAAATAATATAACTTTTTCTTCTTCTCTTTTTCGAAATCTTAATCAAATGCATATTTTAATTACACTACTTCTTTTTGAAATGCCAATATTAGCCACTATTGTCTTATCTTCTTCTTTTTTGATAAGAGGGAATCATGAAACTTATCTATAAAGCTCTTTTATCGAAATTAGATGTCATTGCTCTTTTTTTTTTGTCATCTGATTATTATTAAAAACCAAAGTTGAAATACAGGGTGAGATACAGGATGAGATACACGAAAGCCGACGAAAAAATGATAAATCTCCGGAACCAAAGCCCAAACAAGGGAAACCAGAAGATATTCAATACTAAAGAGAGATACAAGAAGATGAACCAATGGTACTAAAAACTGAGACTGATGAAAGAAGCTTCAGATACGAACTTTTCTATACGAATTGGAGAAACATAAGTTGAGCTAAAAACCAACAACCAAGACACTTGAGCAGAACCAAGATAAAGAGAACTACTCCAAGCTCAAAGCAACATCAACACCAGCAGAAAAGAGCTTAAAATCAACCCATCAGCAGCATCAGAAACTACTACAAACACCACAACTTCTGAAAACCAAAGCCTTGCGACGACAAAAGCTCAAGGAACAAGAGCCTTGAAATACCATCTGGAAAAACGCCAAAGGAGACCATCAACTCTTACACGCGGACACTCGCGATGCAACCTCTAGGACCTACAGACCAAAGACTGCTCACCGCCTCACAAGAGAAAATCTGACTATCGAAACCACTGCTTCGTCTAGAAACTAACCCCAAACCTAAAAAAGAATAGAGCTAGCCTAGTAGATACCTCCACAACGAACACTAAACACTATGGCGAAACCAGAAAGCAAGGCCAAGCCGAACACAAAACACTGGGAAAAGAAGACAGGGGACGCAGAAGAAGAACCACGGAACACCAACAAGGATCACACTTAATGCTTTTAAACAAGACAGAAACGAGAAGAACCAAAATCCAAAATCAGAGATCAGATCTATAGATCTAGATCTAAGAAAATATCACTAAAATTAAATCCAAACATCTAAAAAGAAAACCGGCAAAGAGAAAAGGAGACAAACAAACAACAAGAGACACAGCCCCGGCGCTGAGATAGCCACCGGAACTGAAGAACGGAAATCAGATTAGAAGATCAAGGGAGAAGGCGGAGCTTTCAAGGAGAGAGAAATCCTTGACTTTAATAGAGAGTAATTCTAAAATAGAAGTGTACTTCTCTCATATTCCTTTATTTTTTCTTCTAAAAAAGAATATTTTAAGAATATTCTCTTTATAATTTATTATTAATATCTTTTTTCCACAAAATTTATAAATTAATCTCATTTATATTATTGTTTACAAAAATTTCTATCAATAATAAAAATATATTAAAACTAAATATTTATTTCATAAATAAAATTCAAAATAACTATAGTATTTGTAATTTTCTATAATTTTCAAAACATTTATTAAATCATTATAGTATTTATCATTTTCTATAATTTCTATATTTTTAAAAAATTATTGCAATTTATCATTTTATTTATAATTTAGTTTGAAATAAATAAAAAATTTTCAATTTAGTTATATTATATGTTTACAAAATTTTCTCAAACCATAACAAAATTATTAAATTTATTTATTTATTAGATTTTTGTATTTAATAACATATAAAACTGTATAATGTAACTTTATTGACGTATTATTATATATGTGTATACTATATTGCTATTCATATTTATTTTTTTTATCATGGATTAACCACTTTTATTTATAAATTATATAGTTAATTAAAGTAAATAATGTTTTCTGTTTTTCTATAATAATTATTGTCTGAAATGATGTTGATTTTATTAAACTTTATTAAAGTTATTTAATATTTTATAATTTAATTAAATTTATATGTTAGATATATAACTATTTATTGGATATATACAAACTAGATTATGCAAATATTTAATTTAACTTTTTATATGTTATATAAATAAAAATAAAAAGATGTAAAAGTTAAAAGACCAGTTTATAAATAAAAAAGTGTATCTCTATTATAGAGGAACAAATAGAATTCCTCCAAATATAGAAGGAAAAATAGCAACCTCTATTTTAAAAGTAAAAATAGAAGTGGATTGGAGAGAATTTTTTCTAAACTCTATTTTTCCCTCTAAAATAAAAATAGATTGGAGATGATCTTATAGACCTATTTTACCAACTATCTCTTGTATAAAATCGTTTAATTTTGTTAAGATATAGAATGTCACTTCAATAACATAACTAGATCTTTTTTAACACGATTATAAAAAATCAACTGCATCAATTTAATACATATACAATGAAAAACCAAGTAAACATATTTTAAGAATTAACAAACAATAACTTTACTGTAAAAACTCTGATTATAATTCTTGTTTGATTGTGTAATCTGCAAATTTCACAGTAACAAAGAGAGAGAAAAAAAAACTCTCCTATCCGATTTTATTACCAGTCCCATCTCTGAAAATCAAAGGTTCCGAGATTCTTACATCGCTAGAAGAATCAGTCACATTTCCTGAAACTGTTGTTTGTTGTTCTCTATAAGATGCCCAAGTAACCATATAAAGCCCAGAAATTATGAGTATTCCACCAACAATGCTGCACAGAGAAAGAAAACCGAGATTACAAGCAGAACAAGGAAAGATTAATAATCAAAGATCCAGGCAAGACTATAAAGTTTAAACCTTCCGAGATAGATTGGACTGCCGAGGAAAATTGTCGATAAAAAAGCAGATGTTGCAGGTTGAAGAGGGTTGTATAGAGAAACCAAAGCAGCTCCAAGAATTTTATTGGACCAAGTCAAGAGTCCATAGTTTAGAGCTGACGCAAACACTCCCTGAGAAGCAAAAAACATAATGCTCTGATGAAGAAAGCTCCAATCTTTTGTGTCAAGCACACTCATATAATCATTTTATTGAAAACTTACCGCAAATATAACAGCAAGAACCTCGGATTGTGTCAAGATCCAATCTTTAGGCTCTCTAACAAACACCAAAGCTGTTGTGATCATTATCGATGCACCGAAGAAGTACGAATACGCGGTAACCGAAAGGTACGCAGGATACTTCTTCAGAACCGGTGCTTGGACGGCGATAAAAGCAGCCATACACATGCAGTTTCCAATCAAGCATATAACACCAATGTGCCATAGATCGAGACCAAGTCCAAGAAAGCTAGAGAGTAACCAATTATGATGCACATTAAGTTGATCTCTATCAATGACAACATTTTTTGCTGTAAAGTCTGCATTTTTATCTCCAAACAAAGCTGGACCACGGAACAAAGCCATCACTAAGGCACCAGAAACACAAACAAGTGTACCTCCAACTTTGGTAAGTCCTTCGATCTTAAACAAGTTCACTTTCTCTGTTCTGCAGGCAAAATATGGAGACTCACACAAAGATCGAATATTTATACATTTTATGGTAATGTTGAGGAAAATTTAGACTCACCCCATCATCACAGCTAAGAGAAAGGTAAAGACTGGGATAGATGGTTGTATAGCAGCTGCATAAGTTGGATTTGTGTATGATAAACCCATAAGAAATAGTAATTGGTTCCCAAATATCCTATCACAAGATTGAGAGTGTAATCTTCATAAACATGATTTTAAAGATAATGAGATATTGGATGAACAAAAGCTGGTTACTTACCCTGCTAAACCTAGGAAGAAGAGCGAAAAGCAGACACTTCTGTTCATAGCAGGTCTGATCCCTCTACAAGATTAAGAGAACAACCATTGTTATTGGTTTTTGTTTTAAAACAGAATCTGACATTCACTATCATCCTGCAAATTTTGCAGTTTCAGGAGTATATAAAACAGTAAATTTGAACTCAAAAGGGCATCTTTCTCAGAAACTCAATACCTTGATGATTGATTCCAAGTCAAATCTAGTAAAAATGGAAGTAAAGTAAGCAGAACAGTGTTTTAAAACAAACAGTAGAATCGGAATAAGACAAATATACTTTGAGTTATCAAACAGAGAGAAAAGTCCTAATTCTGATTACAGAAATATCAAGTAATACTATTGTGATTTGTTGCATATAAACCAAAAATTCAATCAAGAAATTGCAATGGGCAAATAAATAAATAAAATTCAGGTGGGAAAAAAGGTGATTTTAGGAACCAGGAACTTGATAGATATTAACGATTCAGACAATTCAATCAAAAATGAGAGTGAAGGAGAAAGATTTTGACAAAAAGCTGATACCTTTCGCGGAAATAAGCGAGAGGTGCAAGAATGGAGAGAGCAAGAAGATCGCGGAAGACACAGAAGACGAGCTGATTGATACCAACGTTAAGAGCTACTTTCGTAATCACATGGTAAGCGCCATTAATGAGCTGAACAAAGGTCATCGCAGAGTGCGCCATTCGAGCTTCCCTCTCCGTCGAATCGCCGCCGTTTACGGTCACCGGAGCTGCCATCTTTTAATCAATTTCTCTCACTCTCTGCCTCCGAATCAAGCAAGACAAGAAACACCTGAAGACTATGAAATTGAAATCCTTGCTTTGATTGATATTCCAAATTCTGGACTTTGCATTTCTCGTAGTCGTTGGTTTGTTCGTCTTCTATTTGGTCTTTAAAAAAGCAAAAGACAAAAAACAAAAATAAATACGTTTTCAAGTCTTTTTTAGCCAGATTATTTACCAAAACTAAAATTAAAAAGCATATCAAATCATTCATGTGGAATTCTGGTATATTCCGAAAAAAAAAGTTGAAAATGTCTACTGTTCAAAATTGTAGGTAGGGGTGGGCACAAAAACCATAACCGAAAAAACCAAACCATACTGAACCGAAAAAAGTGATATGGTTTAGTTATGGTTACATCTAAAAATCTATTTGGCCATTAATTTTTTATAGCTTTGGTTTAGGTTTGGTTTGGTTAAAAACTGTCAAACCAAAAGGTTTTTCGGTTTTTAAACTAAATTTTAAATAATTTATATTTTCCTAGTTTCTTAATTTAGTTTAGGTATATATTTTATTATTTGGCTTAGTTATCTTTATAATTTACTAACTTAACTCATAAATTTAAAATATAATATTTATCAAAAAATATCTACATATAAATAATAAAGTAAACCTTAATTTTTCAATAAAGAAAAACGTGATTAACTCTTTTTTCTTCACATTCAAGTCTTCTAATTCTAGTTCCAAAGCTATAGATATTAAATTTTAATCTAGATTTGTTTATTGTTTTATAATTATTAATTATGAAAGATTTGATAATTTGTTTGTTTCTTTGTTTTGAAATCTGTCCTTATTGATGAATTTTTTATGATTTAGATTCTATTTTTTGGATTTATTGTTTTATTTCACTCATATCTATTATTATTATTTTCATTAGTTTGAATCAAAAACTTTCGTGATAGTATAATTCCAAAAAACCGAAACCAAACCATATCAAATCGAACCGTAAAAAATCAAACCATACCGAACCTAAATGTATATGACTTTTATATGGTTTGAATTTTCGTAAAACCGATAAACCGTAAAACCAAAAAAATCAAACCGAAACCAAACCAAAAACCGAAGTGCCCACCCCTAATTGTAGGTGGTAAATGTCTTTTTGCACTTTACAAAGCCTAATAACATAATTTTTATCTTAAAATACCTTAGTCTCTTATGATTATATATATAAGTAAAGACAAATATTTTTAAATGAAAAACTCCTCAAAAATCAAGTTTTTCAATTTTTCAGAAAAAAAATATAAATTGTGATGATCACGATATTAAATATATGTGTTAGAGCATTACCAACCATACCATTAGTAACTTATTGTTGAAAGAATATTAAATTTGGTGTTTTGAAGTTCTATTTTTTTTTTTCATATTCAATTACAACATCCAATCTCACACTATAAATAATAGTTTTTTTTATTATATAATTAAACTTAAAATCTTTTTATTTTAAATATTTTGATAAATTATTACTAATTGACTAATTATAAGTTAACTATAATATTACAATCAATAAATTAGAAATATAACGAAAAATAAATTAATTTGTACTAATTCTAAAAATTAGTATATTTAGAACACACAAAATTTAATTTTCATATTTATTTAGTTATTTTGTAAAATATAAATTACAAGATAAATTCTATATTTTAAAATATGAAAAGTATAAAAATATTTATAGTTTATTTATTTTTAATTACAAATTTCATTCAATTAATAATCAATAATTCAATGATGTTATTGAATAAAAAATCAAAAAAATAATGTTTAAATATTTAGTGTGATGAAAAATGTCACACTATATTTGATATGACACTTTTCATAAAATACTAAAGATAAAAGTTTACCATTTTGTATACAGTCTAATTGGAGAGAAAAACACACTAAATTTGGTAGAGATGCTCTTAATAACCCAATGGGATTCAAATTTGTATTAATACATCTTATTGACAGAAAAATAAAAACTACAAAAATACAAAATTTATAGCTCAAACGTCGTTATAGCTATATATCTTGAAGTGTTATCTACAAGAAATTTCGGACCTTACCAAAAAAAAAAAGAAATTTCGGTTGTCAAAACAAGAATAATCAATTTAATTAATTTAAACATGGTTTGTCCTAGCAAATGAATTTGGATGATTAATTTAATACATGTCTACTTTTCACCAATTTTGAGGCCCATTTAATACATGTCTACGTTTCACCAAATGGGCCCACTTCACCAATTTGGGCCCAACTAATCAAAATTGCTCGGCCCGAGGTCGTCTTCAGTTTCACGCCAGCGGTTCCAATCGCCAAATCCTCTCTTCTACCTATCCCTTTCCTGGCCACATAAAAACAACCGTCGTCGCCGGAGCTCTGATCTTTACCTCCCGATAATATGTCAGTCTCGGATGATGAAGACGAGTGCTTCGCTCGGTTCCTCGAATCAGAAGTCTCATCGGTATTTGTTTTCTTCATCATTATCTAATTGTATCAATTTCATTCAGGGTTTTAATTTTTCTTCTCCCAAAATCGTTTGGATTTAATCCTTAAATCTGAAAACCTATGTCGATCACCCCCATTCTCTAAATTTTCATTATTTGGTGATTTCCGATGGAATTTTTTTTGGACATCAAGTTCTCGATCTGTAAATTTGATGTTTTTTCGTGTAGGTTTGTGTATTCTTAATTTATATCATCGAATTTGGGTTTGGTCGGTCTGATATGAATATTTATTTGAAAATTATCAACATCATATACATCTGGTTCATGTTTCTCGATTTATGTCAATTGTGAATTGTGATGTGCCTCTTTTTTAATGTATTCCTGTGAAAGCTTGAAGTTTACATTGATCCTTTGGTGTTTTTTTCCGTTACTTTGTAGGTAGAGGAAGAAGAAGAATCGAAAGAACCTGAACCAAAACGACAATGTCTTGAGAAAGACAAAACAAAGGTTGTAGAGAAGGATGGAGATCAAAAGGAAGATGGTAACAAAGATAGAAATGGTGCGAAGATAATACAGAGTGGAGTTTTCAACAAAGTTCCAACAGAGATATTTCGTCATATCTTTAAGTTCTTGTCCTCTGAGGTATTGTTCTCTTAATACAGAATCAAATTTTCTGGAATTAGCATAATCTTTGAGGATTCCTTTATAATCAAAATTGTTTGAATGTCATTGCAGGATCTAATATCATGCTCTTTGGTGTGTAAATTTCTCAACTTTGCTGCCTCTGATGAATCCTTATGGCGTCGCCTGTAAGTCTCTTCTCATATTCCGTATCCTTGTTGATAATAATCTAGTTTTCGAAATCAAAAGTTTGTACTCAAAATAAAGCGATACACTTTTTTTTTTTGCAGGTACTGTATCCGGTGGGGACTAATGCCTACAACTAGAAGGTTACGTGAATCTGCTTGGAAGAAGCTTTATATCGATGTGAGTTCCTCACATTTTTATTGCCTAAACTTGTTTCTTGCTAAGCTGTATTACATTGCTGAAGATTATAGAATGTTACTGTGAGTTGCTACTAGTTGTTAAATTCATATATATATTTTCCTTTGAGTGATTCTTTTCTTTTGCTGAATTGTAGCGTGACGAGAAGGACATGATTGAACTTGTTAGAAGCTGTCCGACGGATTTTAAAGAGTATTACATTCAAATGCAAGCAGCAAAGCGAAGCCAAGCACCTCTTCCATCTGAGGTAACTAGCATCTGCATCTCACTAGTTGTTTTTCGCACTACGATCATTCATCATGTTTGATGTATTCTCACGTTTCTTGTTTGTAATGTTTAGATGGTGGATGACCGGATAGTTCTTGACAAAACTGTACTTGACCAAGTATCTCTGTGGAAGAAAAGCAAGGGACTTACAGATAAGGTTGTGATTGGCCATGTTTGTTTAGGAACAAAATGTGATTACCATCAGATTGACGACGTTTTCATATGCCAAGAGACGGGAAATGTTCATGGTATGAAATGGAAACGCTGTAAAATTGTGAAATTTGCTACTTGTGTTTGCTCAAACTCACTTTTTTTTTCTTCTTATGGTCTTATTACAGTATGCGATGATAACTGCAAAGAAGGAATATATTGTTCGGAGAGTGGGAACATGGTGTGTACTATCTCAGGGCTTTGTTCTGATAGTTTGCTCGTGGAAGATGATTCAAATGCTGACGAGGAAGAAGCTGAACTAGAAGCTGAGATATTTACAGGAAAAGGCCGTTTTGGTACATCTCTCTCTCTCTCTCTCTCTCTCTCTCTCTCTCTCTCTCTCTCTGTTTATACCCTTATCTTTTGTCCAACATATAAACTATATAAGTCTTCTTTTGACTGTAGGTCGAGCTTTTGAATTGGGATACAACTGCGAGAGTGAGCAGGAACTAGAACGTACCTTTGGGTTCTGCTGATCAAAAAGTCTCTATTCTCTCTCTCAAACTCTGAGTCTGCCTCTGTTGTAGTGCAATGATACAAAAGAGAAGCTGTGGTTTTTTTAGTAGTCTTTTTAGCTTTGTAACGTATGCAGATATTTGTCTGTAATTGCTCTATTGTCCTTAAAAAAGTTTTACATCTAGTAGTTAAGTTCCAACTTTTCCAGTAATTCCTATTCGTAATTTGTAGTTTCATAGCAATTAGTAATAATCGAATAATGATTTGCTCTGATATCTTGTTTTGCATTTATAATCCAAATCGCAAGTTTATCCTGGTCTCATGTAAACCAATTGGAGGATGTCAACACTAAACAGTCTATTAGATGATTGATTAATTTTAAAAGGATTTCCTCGCCCCAAAAAAATCAAAACTATATATCTCAGTGTTAAAACAAATCTTAATATTTGATTTCATAGATAAGTAATTGACTAGTAATGGATTTATATTATTTTAGTATTATTTTTAGTAAGATCAAAGTAAATTGATATATTAGATAAATGTTTTTTTTTGTTAGGATTTATTTCTGTATAGAGATTAAAATAATGATTGTCGTTCATGTTTGTCTAAAAATATTAATTTGTTGTACATATTGGGGAATCACCTTATGTGTTAGATAATATATGGCTAGTTTGTTACAAAAGAAAATAATAGTTGTGTGTAGATTCGATCCTTTTGGCATTTTTATCCAAGAAAGTGTAACTAAAAAGGTTAAATAGATTATCCCCCTACGTATGTAATTCGTGGAATAATCTCACACGGGTCGTCCATTACGCGTTCTCGCAACGCTAATTTACGTTAGAAAATATTCTTATATTTCTCTTCCTTTAGCAAATTAGCCCCATCTTTTTTTTCGTCTCAGACTCAACCAACTATATTTCAATATATTAGTCTAAATTAATAGTTAGGAATTGTTTGAATTGGAGAAGAAGCAATTCAACCAACCATATTTTCAATATATTAGTCTAAGTTAAAGATTCTTACCATTACATTCGTCGTTATTGGTATTAAGAACTTTGACCCCGTATAAAGACGTACGTGTACGATTGTGATTCATACTAAAATACGAGGACTAAAGGTAAACATTTATCTTTTTGGGAACCGTGTCCCGTAAGGAAAGTTTGTATGTGTTAAGCAAACTCATCAATATATATCTCCAATGTATATTTTTTTTTGTCTCTTCCAATTCAGTTTCGACATTGTTCGCGATTCGTCTCGGGTAAAAAAAGCTCTCAACTTTTTCCTTTAGATTGATTGTTTTTCTCGCACTTTTGTTTCTGTGAAATCGGAGCTTGCGCATTCTCTCTTGATTCTGATCTGTATACTTCGAAACTTCGCATTCTCTCTTAATTCGTTCCTGTCATTGAAATCTCGCGTTTATCTGTTTGCTGAGAACCGATAAATTTCGAATTTTTCTAGTTTGGGCTCTTTACGGTCTATATCTGAAATTGAATTGAGGGTTTTATTTAGCGAGTTTTGTTTCCTCTTTGTTTAATTCGCTTGCCTCTCTCCAGTGATGAAGTCTAAAACTTTCCTATGCTTATGATCTTAAATTCGAGTTCTTTGATCAGCCTTTTGCCTTTAATCGATTTGCTGGTTTATCTCGTTGTTTTTACTCTTGTGTGTCTGCTTGATCCCCTAATTGAAAGCTTGAGATTAATGTCTGCTTTGTGCAATTGAGATTCCATTGATCTCTAAACTAATTAATAATTCAATACGTTGCTGGTTTATGTCATTATTTGACTCTGGTGTTGAATTTCATCCTCCAATTAGATTCTGTATCTCCGACCTAATCAATGATTAACTGCATTGCTGGTTTAGCTCGCTACTTGAGTTTTGTATATCTGCTTGATTGCTTGAGGAAATATTGAAGTTCATGCTTCGTTTGTGCAATTTGATTGGAATTACTTATGTTGTTGATCTTTTGACCTAAATTGATTTTATTTTTATTTTTTATCGACCCTTTTGTAGGCTTTTGGTTGTTGATTTGAAGAAACATGGGAGGTGACAAAGACAAAGGGTTTCATGGGTACCCACCCGCTGGATACCCGCCGGGTCCTGGAGCTTATCCACCCGCTGGATACCCACCACCACCTGGTGCCTACCCACCTGCAGGTTATCCTCCGAGTGCATACCCACCTGCACCTGGTGGTTACCCTCCAGCTCCTGGTTATGGAGGTTATCCTCCACCTCCTGGTCATGGTGGTTATCCTCCTGCTGGATATCCTGCTCATCACTCAGGTACTGTTTTTCTTTTGTAAATATGGTAAATGTCGCTTTAGAAAGAAGTTTTTAAAATAAGTGAAGTTGTGTACAAGTTGCTGCAGAAACCAGGATTTTAGTATGTGTGTAGATGTCAATCTAAATAGAAGTTGAAAAATGAGATTTTGTCTATATGTTTGTTGCCAAAAAAAAAAAACCAAAATTTTTAGTATCGTATCTGGTGTTACATCTTACTGTAGAAAGAAGTTGAAACAGAGTTTTTTTCGTAAAAACCGAAACTTTAGCTGGTAGCTAAGAGAAGTCCATAGTCATTGACTGTTATTGTGAGGCAAGAGTTTTGTATTTTAGTTGCTAAACACCCTTGGCTTTATATGCACATGATTCTACAGCAAATTAGTTGTCTAAAGATCGAACCTTTGAAAGTATTCTCATATTGTTTGACCCTTTTGGTTTCTTTCTTGCCTATACTTGTTTCAGGGCACGCAGGAGGAATCGGAGGTATGATTGCAGGTGCTGCAGCAGCCTATGGAGCTCACCACATGGCTCATAGCTCTCACGGTCCTTACGGACACGCTGCATATGGTCACGGGTTTGGCCATGGTCATGGCTATGGTTATGGTCATGGTAAGTTCAAGCACGGGAAGCATGGAAAGTTCAAGCATCATGGAGGCAAGTTTAAACATGGGAAGCATGGGATGTTTGGAGGAGGAAAGTTCAAGAAGTGGAAGTGATCTAAATACCCCTTTTGATCTCTTATCTCTCGACTGACCAAATGTTTCAAATAAAACCCCAAACATTAATATTAACTTTCGTCGGTTTAGAGATCTTTGGTTCGAATTGGAATAATTGAGACCTAATTAGTATGATGATATTTGTATGGTGTACTATGGCTTTATAATGACAGATTCTGGTTTTTAAAGATTTTATATATTATGCGCTTGTGTATATTGGTTTTGACATTGCTTTAAGCTAGTAGAAGTTATCATTAGGAGAAGACACAATGATACGTGTTGTTTGCATCTGATTCCTATTTTTCCTCAAACTCATGCTTACATAGAGCACTAAATTTATCTGAAAGACAAAAATAACACAGGAAGAGGTCTAAACAAAATGAAAAATACACACTGTATATATTATCACATATATAATAATCCAACTATTAAGATGGTAAATAGATACGTCTGGTAGCTTATCTATTTTATAAACGATGTGTAAACGCATTATCCCATCACTGATTCACAGAGTAGCAGGAGCGGAAGAGATGGAGAGAGACGCGACTGAGCTCGTCCAAGGCTTATCTGAGAATTCTAAGCCTCCTCTTGAAGAACCCGAGTGGTCAACAACTTCGGGGACAACTTCGTCACGGTTTAGATATTTGATCACCATTCCCATGGACGGCCGAGACACAGGACTCTGACGGCAACATAGCAATCCGACGGCGAGAGCTAGCCTTGCCTCACCAACGTCGTAACCAGAGTCAAGTCTCGGATCGACCGCACGGAGGATGTCACCGCTCTCGTGCAACTCCATGACCCAGTCGGCTATGAAGAAGTCCTGTGGACCCGTAGGTATTCTCCCGGAGACCATCTCTAGCAGCAAGACTCCAAACGCAAAGACATCGGAAGCTGACGAGTAGTTTCCGCTGCGAGTGAGCTCAGGGGCCATGTACCCCTGGGTGCCAAACACAACCGTAGTGTGGGCTTCCGACCCACGTTCATAGAGTCTGGCGAGTCCAAAGTCACCCAGTCTTGGACTCATTGCTTCGTCAATTAACACATTACTCGGCTTGACATCACGGTGGATTACTATTTGCTCCCACTCCTCGTGGAGGTATAGTAGACCTGAAGCTACTCCTTTAGCTACCAGGAAGCGCACGCTCCAGGACAGGACGGAGCCGCATCGTTTCGGTACAGTGTGGAGTAGCGAATCTAAACTACCATGCGGCATGTAGTCGTACGCCAACAAGAGGTGCGTCTTGTGCTTGCACCAACCCCTAAGCTGCACCAAGTTCCTGTGGCTAAGTCGTCCTAGGGTTTCGATCTCGGCGACGAACTCACGTATACCCTGCATGCTCCCCGGGGTGATCTTCTTCACGGCGATCTGTTCAGTGGGTGAGATGCGTCCTCTGAAGACGGTCCCGAACCCTCCGACTCCGATGATATTTTCCTCCTTGAAACCTTCGGTGGCGGAATAGAGATCCTTGTAGTTGAGTCGGTGAGGATGATTGATTTCCCAGTCTTCGAGAATATCTCCTTGTCGCATACAGTTCTTGTAAATCACGAAGAATATCAGCAGCATAATTAGTATCACCGTTACGCACGATAGAGCCACGATCAGAGCGATGATCAGAGAGCTGAAGCCTCTCTTCTTCTCCCCAGTCTTCTTAGGCGGACGAGGAAGCTCCGATAGATTCAGCACATCTGCTTCTGGGCGTTCACCTCCGCTGGAGAAACTCCAACCCATCAAATAATGAGCACTTGTTCGTTCATCCCCAGTTGCTGCCGTGAATCCGACGTACATTTCTTCCTGTACGATCCGCGACAACTGTGGAACCCGTAACGAGATCAAAGGCTTTGCAGGTGCAGACTTCAATTTGGCGGGGTAAACGGTTAAACTCAGCATCTGGGAGGGTCCGTGGTAATCCAATAGTGCTCGGATCGGGTCGCCGGTCTGGAGAGAGAATTCTTCTTTACGGTTGAGATCCTCCTTGTCGTAGTAGACAACAGGTTCTTGAATGTCGGATTTAAGACTGTTGAAACTGAGGCCGACGTGATTTCCCGTTCGATCTTCCCTGTCCTTGAATCCCTGCACGGTATCGAACTCAGCTGCGAAGACGTGATTGCTTTGACTGCCGTCGCTATCTCTGCTGAGGTATCCTAGATACTGTCCTGCTTCAGCTCCAGTGCGGTAAGGTGTCGGGGAAAGGCTCAAGGTAAACCCGTAGCCTCCATTGGAGGAGGCTGCAGAGATTATGGAGAAGATGAAAGATGCACTAAACGAACCGACCGTGGAAACGTTGGAATCGTTTCCATTCTCCAGCAACCTCACTGGTTTG